AGCAGGGCATGGAGTCACTGGAGGTGGGTTGATTTCCGATAAAGAACGCAAGTTTGGAAAACAGGGAGCTGGGTCAGTACGGCTGCTGTTACAGGGCACTCAGGGCTGGTGTGGGCAGGGCCTAGACCTCCCAGCAGCAGCTAAAGCTCCCAAAGCAGATAGGGGCAGTATAATGACCTTGTAGGCCGTTCCCAGGAGCTTGGACTCTCTCCCGCAGGAAATGGGGCACCGGTGATGACGTTCAGCAGGACCATGATGTGCTCAGGTGTATGAGGAAGATCAAGCAATCCTTATTTGGAGGCTGGGGATATGTGAAAATTCTGGAGGCAATAAGGGAGTTATTGTAACAGTCCAGCTGAAAGCCAACAAGGAGTGAGGATGGGACCATCACCACGTGCCGGAGAGCAGAATCTATGTCATTTGCATTTGTGAATTTCATTCATTCATTGACATATTCCCTCAATGACCATAAGTGGATTTCCATTATGGCCCATTATGTGCTGGTGCTGAGGACACAGCAGTGAACACAGGTCAGGCCTAGCTCTCCCGGAGTGTACTGGCTGGCCAGGGAGGCATATGATAAACCAGTAACGACACAATGGATGATTGACAATTGGGAGAGGTACTATTAAAGGACCAGGACAAGGTTCTAGCTCTAGCCAGATAGCCCTAGTTTCAAAACCTGGTTCTTTACTGCTCAGGTGGGAGCACGTTTCTCAGGCTCTTGAAGCCTTTGTTGCCTCATCTAAAAATGTGGGTAGCAGGAGTACCCACCCACAGGATGGTTAAGGAGATTAAAGTTAGTGCTGTAGAGAGAGGTGCCTACCAATGCCTGGCAGGCAGCAGAAGCTTACAGGGATCATTTGATTCTTCCACACTAGGTAGGCACCCTAAATCCGAGTTGGGCAGAATTATGTTATTGACCTTGAACCCGTCAGTCTCTGGGAACATGATGGAAGACACCAGGAATGCTGATTTGCTGCGTATAGAGTGGCCAATTGATCTGTGGAGAAGCCCTTTAGGAGATGCTCATTTTGGGGAACAGCAGGCCTGCCTTAGCATTGTGGAAGGTGCTGTTCCCCACCCCCTCTTACTCCACCCCCAACGAGGCTTCTGCTGCGTGTGTAAGAAACAGCCATGGATTTTGGTGTCTCCCTATGTAGTTCGTCCCTCAAGAGAATGCCATTCCCTGGCCTGGTACAAAATACCCTTTTCTGACCTTCAGAGGCCAATGTGCTGGTGCTCCTTGTAACACCGATGGAATGATGCCCACCAGTGTCTTTCTCTTACAAGGTTCGGGCTTAGTCATAAACTCCCTTACACACGAGTACCCTCATCCAAAAGTTACGGAGTGAATGCCTATGTGTGGCAGTCACTGTGCTAGGTGTTAGGATCATAGTATTGAAAAGAATAAGACCCACCCCCTCCCACAAAGGCATCCTAAACTCACGGGGAGTTAGAGAGGTAGATGAATCCGTGCCATCTGTGTTGAAGGGGCTAGAATCAAAGTAGTACAGGCCATAGGGTGGGTGCACAGAGCCAAACTGAGGCACCTTGCCTGGGAGTGCATGCCAGACTGTGTCAGATAAGGCTGGGCTTTGGTGTCCAGCCCCTGACATACTGCTCAGTGATAATAACTGTCCCTTAGTGAGTACCACTCTGTCCCTGGCATAAAGTGCCAGATACTTACGTTGCTTAATTTAATCCTCATGATGATACCATGAGGACTGTTTTAAATGAATCACTACATTACAGCATTTAGAAGAGTGTCTGACTCATGGTAAATGTTCCATAAATGATGCCTATTGTTATTCTCTCTCTCTCTTTCTCTCTCTCTCTCTCTCTCCCCCACCCCTTTCTCTCTGGATAAAACTGAAATTAGGTGATAGGAGCTCAAAAGTCCATAGGGTCCAAGCATAAGTGTTCGGCAAATTCCCGAGGAGCCCAAAAGGCAGCCTGGGTTTCCATCACGGGCAGCAGGGATAGGTGAGAAGTGCTGGGTTCTCACAGTGAACACACATAGTGTTAATGCCAGTAGGAGGGCTTGGTCATTGGCTCCTCCTGAAGAGGGCTTCTCAGCTCCAGCAGATGGCCGCCCTGTGGGAAGAAAGCCTATGACAGATACAGCAGAATGACTCGCTCTGCATCTGTCCCTCCCTCCTCCTCATGCCTCCCTGAATTGCAGAGGCTGGAGAAATCAAATCCACCTTTCTCAGCCTCCCTTCCAGGTTCTGGGTATGATGAGAGTCTGCCATTTAGATGTGCTCACAGGAGGCTCAAACTGAATCAATTGGGGGTGAAGGTGGGGTCACCTTGGGGCTACACTACGTTGCTGGTGCAGGTCTGGCCAATGCAGAGCCACTAGGGATAATGACAGCTCTCCCATCCTGAGTGGTGGCAAAGGTGATAGGAGCCTGGAGTGAGCAGTTGAGATACCATCTGAGTGTTGTTCCGAGTGCTGCTCTTGGGGACCCAGTCTACCGCCCACTCCTCCGTCCATCTTGTAAGCACCCAATTCCCTGTAATGTTTTCCTGCTTCACATAGCTAGAACATTTTTTCTTATCTTGTGCGTGTGTGTGTGCGTGCGTGCTTCAAACTTTCAATGTGAAATCTCCTGATTTGCAAAGAAGGACTTGCACAGAGCACCTAAACCTTTCTGACCCTGGCTTCCTCACGCGCAACATGGTTGTGTGAAACCACTTCGCATCAGGTAGTGGGAAGGGTCCCGTGAAATATCATTTGCAAAGTGCCTGTCATACAGCAGCTGCTCAATAACAGACAACTTTCTGTAGCATAAAAAGCATGGATTTTTAGAAACTGGGTTCAAATTGTGATAATACTGCTTACCAGCTGTGTGACCACATGAAACTTTGCAGCCCTGGGCAGTGTGGGTGATAAAATACCTACTATTGCATGGTCTGTTTGTTGGCGTGCTGGTTTTGGTGACTACTAAAGCGTTAACGTATACAAGGATGCCCAGCCCGGTGCTTGCCTGACACAGAGTCGTCTCTTCTCAAATGCTCATTTCCTTCTTTATCGCCTATTTCCTTCAATTCATAGTAATATTTAATACGCTTGTGGATGAGGATGAGGATGGTTGGAAAGAAACTAATGAGGTAAACAGTTATAAAGGATACAATTACAGAACCAACCATTTGCTCCCTGTTAGGAGACTGACAATTTTTTTGCCCCTCCATAATACAGGAAATAAAGTGGTATCTGTCATTTCAGTGGGTGTGTCTGGGCGCTCTGGAGACTGTTCTGCTCACACCTCTTTCCTGCTACCAATCGTCTTTCTCCTGCTACCAGAGCCATGGCTTGGCTCTGCTTCGGGAGATAGGACCTGCGCTCTGGGCATCTGGGGACCTGCCAAGTGAGATAAGAGAGAGTGGGCTGGGAAAGGGTAGCTCTCTGAGATCCTTGGCAAAGTGCCAATAAGTTAAGAGGTGGGATGGATGAGGCTGGACACATAGTAGGTCTGTCAGTTTGTCAAGAGTTGTAGGAGCCCAGTATTATCTGGGGAAGGGTGTGGTCAGGTGCAGAGTAGGATACTGAGGAGACTCAGAGCTAGAAAACTGCTGATAGAATGGGGAGCATAGTGGCTATTCTAGGATTATTTGCTAGTCTTTCTTACAGTGAGATACACTTCTTGGCAAGAAGTGTAACCAGTGGAATCCATTGAAATGTATTTGTAGGAGCCATCAGTAGACATTTATGTTGGGTACCGCCCACCATATGCTCCAGGAAGCATTGGAGGGAAGAACGGTGTTTTCTTTTTATTATTATTATTTTTTAATCCCTTCCGAAGCCTAGCAGTGGTGATTGGCACACAACCTGTAATTTATTGTTAATATAGGCAGGGCATCTGTGGAGAGACTTGGCCATTCGACAAACATCTGTGGAATGCTCACTGCCCCCTATATTCCTGCCAAGAGCCTTGCTAGAGTCAGAGGATACGAAGTCCCTGTACCCAAGAAACTGACATTCCAGAGACGGAGGCAGATGCAGGCATTCGGCTAACACTAATTGAGAGCCTGCTATGTCCATGCACCTACCAGGCTCTGGGGTATAACAGTTAAGACCTGGTCTCTGCCCTTAAAGATTTATAGGCTGTCGGGGTGGGGCGGTGGGAAGGAAATGTCAGGTGGACAGGCAGTTGCAATCTGATGTGTTTCAAGCTGGTGTGGGTGAATTTTCCAGATGTGCGCAGGAATTCTCCAGGTGACAAGGAGGGGGGCGTGTGTGTGTGTTTGTTGCTGAGGGTGAGGAGAAGGCATTTCAGGCAAAGAAAGCTGCACTGAGTACAAGAAAGGGCACAAACCCGGGGAGGACAGGGTGAGCTCAGTATTGTTGTAGGGTAGGGGAGAAGGCTGGGAGGCATTGGTAGGAAGTGAAATTTCAAGCAAGTTGAGACTGGATCTTGCTAAAACTTGTCATGCTCAGAATCTGAACTCCATTCTGGAGGTGATGGGAAACCACAGAGGTATTTTAAAAGGTAGATTGAATCCATTAATCCTACTGAGTGTTAACTATGTATGCACTTGCTACTGGAGTAGATTCTGGAAATTTGATGGTGTGTACAATAGTTTTTGTCCATGTGAGGTTTATGATCTAATAGGAGGGAGGCAAATTACACAAACTAATTTTTTTTAACAAGGAGAATGTATTAAGGTAGTGTTTACATAATTAAAACATAATTAAAATCATAACATACTCCACAGTCAGCCAACATACCTATAAAGTTATTAAATATCACAAGTGCTATGAAGGGGACTCCAAGCTGGCTGGTGGTAAAATGCCAAATAATGGCTAATAATAATAGTCACAGACATTTGGTAAGTGATCATTACGCAGCTGTCATGCTTCTTGCCGATTATCTCATTTAGTCTTCAAAGCAATCAGGTGAATGAGTTTTATCTCCACGTAGGGACATATGTCTGACTCCAAGACTTGTACGACCCATTGAGGTTGCGTTTTGATTTTTATCTTTTGCTAATAGCAATTACGATAGTAGACTGGATAGTGACCAACCGAAAATGTCCACGCCCTGATCCTTGGAACCTGTGAATATATTACTTTCCATGGCAGAAGGGACTTTGCAGATGGGATTGCCATGGGGAAGAGTATCCCAGATTATCCAGGTGAGTTCAATGTAATCACGAGGGCCCTCATAAGAGAGAGGGAGGAGCAGAGAGAGGCTGGAGGGGTGTGCTTTGTAGATGGAAGGAGGGATTGCTGGCTAAGGAAGGCCTCTGGAAGGTGGAAAGGCAATGGATTCTCCCTTAGAGCTTCCAAAAGGAACAAAGTTCTGCTAACACATTGATTTTAGCCCCGAAAAACCGTTTTCATCTTCTGACTTCCAGAACCGTAAGATAAATTTGTGTCATTTTAAGCCAAGAAGTTTGTGGTAATTTGTTACAGTGACAATAAGAAACCAATTAAGCAACTTTTTGAGGGTACTTACTTCACCACAGCTGGATCAAAAGCCCTACGTCATAAGACTGCTTCGCCTAAACAAGGGAAAACTAAGTGTTTTAGAAGCTTGTAGAAGATCTGCGGGGGGAGGGGAATGAGTCCGAAAGCAAAAGGAGAATGGGAAGAAGAAGTGGGAGAGAGGGTGTTTGAAGTGCAGGAACCAGCAGAAACAAAAGCATAAGGGTAAGGGTGGGCCATGAAGGCACGCGTGGAGGAGGGTTTTGCTAAAACCACCAGGCATGGCAGAGGGCCGGAGAGTGACCTAAGCCTGGAATTTTGGCTGCAGTCAGACCATGGAGCCGGACCCCAGTATGAGCCGTGACTAGGCAGTGGGGAGTCACAGGAGGACTTTGAGGAGGCCCGTGACATAATCAGGTAGCGTTTTATGAAGAATTCCCTCCATTGGTGGGAGTGGTGGGAGGAGAGGGGCAAGGAAGCAAGTTCTGAGGCTTTGCTGTCACCTGTCCTGTATGACATTTGTCTGAACCAGGCTGGTGGCCGTGAGAAGAGCCAGAGGTGTCTCCCTGTCATAAAGCACACAGAAATGCCGTTCTCAAAGTGTGGTCCCCGGACCTTGGCGGTGTCCTGGAGACCCTTTCAGGGAGCTCTCAAGGTTAATTTTTTTCTCATTTCAAGGTTAAATTTTTTTTTCATTTCATTTCATTTTTCACACTCATTCTCTCACAGCGCATAGTGGAGTTTTGCAGGGGTTACAGAGGTGAAATCACCGCAGACTCATTGCAAAAGGAGAATTCATCTCTCTTTTATTAAGCCAGACATTAAAAAGACTTGAAAAAAATGTATTATTTGTTTTGGAAAATATTATTTCACAAAAATGTTCTTTATGCTAACATATAATGACTTGTTAGTTCTAAATGAGTATATATTTAGACATCTTTGTATTAATTTATCATATGGTAAATATTGATAGATAAAAGCTATATAAACAATAGCTCTTTGGGGTCTTCAGTAATTTTTCAGGAGTATAAAAAGGTCATGAGACCAAAAAGTGTGAAAATCTGCTATTGTACACAAATGTGCAGGCTTGTTTCTGTTTATTTGGGATATATTCCTAGGCTTAGGCCTTTTAAAGCCTGGAAGAGGCAAGGCAGATCTGGTTCTTCCCAAATAACAGAGGAGCCTCCGTGGGATTAAGGTATGGGCACAAATGCACACAACTTGCATGAGTGGAATAAGGGCTGAAAGCCATGTGTTTATGCCCAGATCGTGGGCTTTTCCCATTGCTCCACGGGCTGCAGAAGGGCTTGGCCTGCTGGGAGGAGGCCTGCGGAGTACTCCTCCTCAGGCTGCAGCCAGCCCCCAAAAGGCCTGGGAGCGCTCCAGGGTGGTGCTTCCCAGCCGTGCCCAGTGCTCCCTCTAGAGGCTGAAAGTAGAATCTACACCATTCTTGCTTGACCTTCCTATTGTGGCAGCCCAATTTCTGTCCCAGGAGGAGTTTGAAATTCCTAGCTCCCTGATGCCTTGAAGCAGGCGAAGGACAGCAAGCAGAGTTCTGTTTTCATGTGGGGAGGCTGTGGAGGCGAGAAGCAGTGTGTTTTGCAGTGGTGAAAGCACTGGACTAACCTAAATCTTGGTTCAGACTCAGTCCACACTGGGGTCTTGACCTCTTTGGGTTTCAATTACCCAGGAGGAAATAGTCTGCATGACTAGCCATAAAGACACTTCCAGCTCTAGCAGCTTATGGTGCTAATCGTCCCCAAGGCCCATGCCACGAGAAGAGACATCAGGGAGAAGGCATAGCTTCCTGGGCTGCAGTCTCTCAGGGCTCTCCTTGCATTTATGGGTTTAGCTCAACCTGAATTTGACATTAGGATGAATTCTTGTAATTACAGAGCTCACAGATTCTGTCCTTTAGCAAGTTTATTTTTTAAGGACTTTTCTGCAATTGATCCATTTATTGAGCACACAAGAATAAGCTGGCATTGACTGAGATATGTGTCAGGCATTGGGTCAAGGACTAGATGTATATTTTCTCACTTGATCCGTACCTCCACCCCATATGCTAGGTGCTAGCATTATTGCCACTTTACAGAGGAGAAAACCGAGGCCCAGGGAGCTTGAGGAACTTGCCAAGATTAGGAAACAACTGTGTGGCAGAACCAGAATTCAAAACCAAGCCGTCAGGCACAGCCACAACACTATACTTAGCCCTGATAATAAGAGTTTGCTCTTTTTAGTTTTGAGAGTTTGCTGTGTCCTTGGAGTTTTATCCATGTTATCTCATTTAATACAGTGATTCTGTAAAGTAGGAATTGTTATCACAGTTTTACAAGGAGGACACTTATTCTCAGATCACCCAGTGCCAGACCTGAGATTTCATCTTTGGGACTTCAAAGCCTGAGCTCTTCATTGTTACTCAGAACCATCTATGTGCCAGAGAAAGATGAGGAAGACCAACCGAGTCTACAAGGAGCTTCTACTATAGTCTCCTTGTGGGACAGTAATAGTTGCAGCCATTTACTGAGCACCATTCTAAGCCTTTACATGTATGAGTTCAATCCTCACAACAATCCAATGAGTTAGATCTGATTACTATCCCATTTTACAGATGAAGAAACAAAGGCGTGGGGACAGAGGGGTAAATAAATTGCCCAAAGTGCCTCCCACATTTGTTAGTGGCAGAGTTGGGATCCAAACCCAGGTAGCCTGGCTCTAGAACCAAAGTTTTTAGCCACTACATTACCCAAAGCACAAATAGTTCCCACAGAAATGTAGGGGCCACTGACCAGGGTTGAGCACAGTCAAGGGAACAGGCCCAGCCTGCAGAGAGATTCCAAGGAGGGGAAGGAGGTGTCCCTTCCTGGGCCCCGTTCCTCTGTGACCCTGGCTTTCCAGCTGTCTATCAGAATGCTGCACCTAGAAATTATGGCTTCTCCTCAAATCTAAGAGCTAAAAAAGCAGAATTTAACACATTTCCCCAAATCTTTCTCGAAATGTCTCTTCCTTGTCAATGTTCTCATTCCTTCACACCACCAGAACCAAACCCTGATGGATAATTTCTTGGCGTTAGAGAACTATATTAAAGATTCTAAGATGTTGCCTTGTCTCGCATGAGCAAGAAAGAGTGATATGATCAATGAAAACATTTCTTTGGTGGGAATAGTAGGAACTGACCACACGGGCCATGTATTTGCTATTTCTGAAGTGGGCTCTGTCCTAAGGAAGGGTTACGGAGCTGAGTCCTGAGGGCAGGTGCTAACAGGCACCAAGCCAATATGAAAACCCAGGTCAGGGAGGGCATGGCCGAGAACATGGCTATTCTTGGGTGGAGAGGGCAGGTCCTAAGTCAGACTGGCCAGGCTTAGAGAAAAAGGCATTCTTGGTAAGAGGTATCAGACTTGGGCACTAAAGTGAGGTTGCCAAGTTAGGAGAAGGCTGGCAGGGCCTGGAGGAAAGTCAAGGAGCAGATGATTTCTTGTTAGAAAGCCATGGCAGGAAAGCCTTAAGCCCCAGGATGGTATGAAGCAAGGACGAACCAGATGTACCAGTGAATATTTCTCCTGAGCTATGGCATTCCTTCCTCCAGAAATACAAAGCAATGGCGCTTTTCAACTGAGTAGGATGGGGTTCTGGGATAAGCTCCAGTGGGAATGAAATAATCCAGGGTGAGTGAATAGAAGTGGAAGAGGTCAGTTGGGACTTAAATTGTGAATAGCAGTGACCATGGTGAGTGAGACTGAACACAACAGGAACTTGAAATAAGAACAGAGTTGTGACTGTCTCATGGAACCCAAGGGTGAGAATGGGCTTGGAACCTGGGAACCAAAACATTATGCCAGGAATTGTCACTGTCACCTGTCTCTGCTTCTCTACACATGTGCGCTTTGTTCTGTGCTTTCCCTGACAGCTCTCCTCACTTCTTAGCCCACTTGTTAACATGAGGTTGCCTTAGGATCCCATGTTCTCATGTCACAGTTCCAGCCAAAGAGTTTATCAAGACTTTGGGTCTCAGTTCCTAATGCGGGGAAAAGAATCGGTCTGGCTGCTCTTTAGTCTGTTGTCTACTCCTGGGCCAATCAGCTAAGACCAGAAAGACAGGGCAAACATATCTGTAAAAGGCTCATCCCCATGGATGTGGGGTGTGAATGGGGATTGTTCCTAGGAAGAGGGACTAGAGGTGGTTGTGGGACTAGGAAAATACCCCAAATGGTATCTGCTAAAGACACAAGGGTCTAAAGATAAAGCACTGGAAGACACCAACATTGATTGGATGTCAGAGAGAGGAGATGGGGAAGGAGAAAGTCTCTAGGTGGTTAGGAGGAAAACCATGAGAGAGAAATCATGGGTACTGAGAGAGAAGGGAGTTTATTTAAAGAAGGAGGAAGGCCGTCAAAAGTCATGGTACATACAGTCAAGAAGGGTGAGCAGTGTCAGAGACCATTTGATTATAGACAGTCCCTGAAAATTTTTTAGAAAGCACGTTAGAGGAGCACATTAGTGAAGAAATCACATTTCTACAGGTTAAAGATGGAGTTGGTTGTATTTTTATAGGTAAACACAAAAGTATGTAATGTTACCTGTGCTGTCAACTTTGGAGATAGTCCACCTTCACTGTGTTGAGTTGGCTTTAGTCAGAATTTAGCATATATTGGCATCGAAACAGTAAATTTGTCCCCAGTCCTACAGGGGTAACACATTG